CTCGGGGCCCCCACGCAGCTTGTGGAGCTTCAGGTGGAGCTCATCTGAAATGCCACTGGCTGGGGGGCTGTGAGGGAGCAGGGGTCGTTGGTGCAGGGCTGGCAGCTGAATGAGAGGGAGCTAAAATGCCAACAGCCAGTGCCCAGAGCTGCAGGAACTAATTGCAAAGCTGAGTTAATGATTGTTCTGCATGTTTCAGTAGCTGTGGGTTGAGATTTGACAGGCTCAGGCTGGTAGATCTGAGCTCGTCTCTCTGCTGCTCTGCACCTCGCTCAGCTGTCTGTCTGTCTGTCCTGTCCAGCTGATCCAGTCCATCACTGGCACCTCTGTCTCTCAGAACGTGGTCATTGCCATGTCTGGCATTTCCAAGGTCTTCGTTGGGGAGGTGGTGGAGGAAGGTGAGTGGCAAATGTGGAGTAAAAATTTAAGAATGCAGATCAATTCCTGGTGACAGCAGAGCAGGACACGGACACTGTGTGTCTCTCATCCTTGCTGTCCCATGGGAGCCTCTGACCTTCCCAAAAGCTGGGCCCAGAGGGGGGGTGCCCATAGTCCCCTCTAATCCTGTCACTGAGTCAGCAGAATCTGGAGCCCTCAGACCTCCTGGTTTATCCTCTCTAAGGAGATCACTTGGAAGTTCTTGCTCTGTCAATCAGCCTGTGATCAGGCTGCCATGGGCACTGGAGATCTTCTGTTAATGTCACCAGAGACAAATTCAGCTCAGATGAGTTATTTAAGCCTCTTAACTGTAGTTCTTCTTGATGGGATGAGCAGAGGTTGCTTTGGGACACAGGGCATGTGTTCCTGCTCCTCCTGGGCTGGAGGTGACACTGGGTTTGATGCCAACCAGTTCACAGGGGCTTGTCACACCAAATGTGGCCTGAACACGCTGGGATCACCAGCACAGGGTGATGCAGCTCCACTGCTGCTTGCTCTGCTGCACTGGGGTGCCTGAGGCTGTCTGGAGAAGCAGCTTCACTGCTGTGATTAATTGTTTCATGTTGTTAATTGCTTTGTTAATGTACTTACTGTAAATAAGAGAAGAAACTGGCCCCTAAGTCCACTTGGAGGTTGGACCTTCCTGTCACACAACCACCCCGAAACACCCCACCCAGCCCAGGGGAGGCTTCAGAGCAGGTGGTTTAAGGTCCTAAGTTCTTGTGTGACTCAAACTCACAGATTCCACAGTAATGGGTTTAAAAGCTGCTTATTATGGTCTGGTCTTGATGCCCCTGGGTGTGACTTTTCTTTCAAAGAGAAGCAGGAAAAGTGCTTTCCTTCTTCTCTATTGACAACACCTGAGCCCTGAGCAAAGAGGTTCCCTTTGGAATGAAAGGGGAAGGAGCAGGGGCTGCCTGAGCTCACAGGAACTCTCTGCTTTTGTTTCCCAGCTCTGGATGTGTGTGAGAAGTGGGGGGAGCTGCCCCCCCTGCAGCCCAAGCACATGCGGGAGGCCGTGAGGAGGCTCAAGTCCCGGGGACAGATCCCCAACTCCAAATACAAAAAGATCATCTTCCACTGAAGCATCCCCAGAGGAGGCAGGAGGTAGAACAAGGTTCCTGGTGTCAGCCTCCCAGCAGTTCCAGCAGAACTGAGAGACTGGAGCTCCTTCAGCTTGGTGGCTGCAGAGAGGCCAAGAGGAGCCTGGTTCATCACCCGAGCACCAAGGAGCCACATCCCTGACCTGGGGCCTGTCCCTGGATCCAGGGACAGGAACATTCAAGGTCTCCAGGGTGTCACCCAGCCAGGTCTCATGTTTCTGCTGGCACAGATGGTGTCTATGTACAGAAGTACCCTTTTCCTTTTTTTTTTTTTGGTAATTAAACTTGTGCTGGTATTTTTAGTCTTGCTGGGAAATGCAGGTTGTGTCATGGTGTTGGTGTGATTCAACATGATCTGTCTCAACCAACCCCAACATGTTCCTGGAGCTTCACCTTGCCTGGGGCAGGGACTGTTCCAGTAGCAAAGGGAACAGACTGAAAGCTGAAATCATCCCTCAGGTCTTCTTCCCAAAGTTGTTTTCTTCCCAGTTTTATGGAGCTGTCTAGAAAACAGGGCAGTGAGGAAGATGAAGGATAAAGCAGGAGCCTGGATGGAGGTTAACAAGTTTAATTTCTTTGCATGGTTCATAGAACCAATAAATGCATGAGTGGAAATATACTGCAACAGAGTTCCAATACTGCCTAAAACTCAAGTTCAGATTTGCACATGACCCCCCTGTACATCAGAAATCCCCTGTGAACACGCTGCTCCTGATGAAATGCAAGAGGTGCTGAGGCCCTGTGCCCTTCCCAGGGCCACACCAAGGTTGAAGTTGGCTCTCATCATAACAGAGACTGAGTCCTTAAAGAAAAGGCTCTAAAAAGTAAACTTTGCTCCTCACCATCAGTGGAGAGAGAGGAGTTTGTCCTCTCCCAGCTGTGCCCTGCAGAAAAGATGTGGGTGTTGGTGTACAGTACTTTTCACTGGTGCTTCAAACAACGGAAGTGCTTGAATTCTTCAACAAAACCAGTTCACTGGAGTTGCTGGAGCAAGAAATTTGCTGTAAACAACTTGGCCCCAGTTCTGTCCAGTCTGCAGCCCTGGGAGGGAGGGAGGGGAAGGGGTTGTGTGACACAGCAAGGAAGCACCACATCCACTAAAAATATCTGCCCCCTCCTCCCTTCCCAAGCTGCCTGGAGATGAAGCTGGACACCTACTCCAACAAAAAGAAACCTTCCATTTTCAAGCAATTAGTGACTAAAAAAGTAAGAAAATCATTGCATCCCACCAAGGCAAGCACTCTGATGTTTCTTGCTTCACAGAGGAAGAGGGAGCAAGCACAGAAGCACAAAGGTTTGACTAAACCAAGTTCAGCTTCTGCCTGGATGAGCTCTGTGCAGCTTGGAATGGTACCTGGAGTGAGCTGTGGGCAGAGCAGTTTGTTTCACAGCAGGTCTAGATAGGCAGGGGCTTCGTTTGCTTGCTTTTGTGTGGTTCCCAGGCCTCAACTCATCGTGGCTGGTAAATCAGAGGCTGTTCCTTGCACAGTGAGGATTAAAATGTTGGTTTACTTTAGCTAAACTAATTGCAGTGGAGTAAAAATGGAACAAAAATAGAAGAATCCCTTAAAGTTTTGGGATGTTCAGCTAAAAAACATAAGGGTTACCTGGCTTTTATAGCCAAGTGAAGTTTTCATCT